GGTGGGATGGGGCTGGGGCAATAACATTCCTGGGAGATGGCAGCTGGTGAGCCAGTCAGAGCTCAAAAAAAAGGAGCTGGCCTCACTGTCCGGGAGGCAGACGATGCTGAGAGGCAGCGTGTGGGGAGTCCGCGAGAGTTGCCATTTGCCTTTGTTTGGAACACTTTAGAGCAACTTGAGCAGATGGCGCAGAAGAGGAAAGAAAAGAAAAAACATTGGCCGAGCAGAAGGAGAAGACGAAGAGGATCCGAGACGAAGCCTGAGTGGAAAAACAAGAACGTCACATGCCAGCGGACATGTCAGCTTCGTTTCGTCGTTGTGCTTGGTTTCCGAACATTCTTTTTGGTTTCCGAATAATCGTTGGTTTCCGAATAACGTTTTTTTTGGTTTCCGAATCATGCTTGGTGTTTTGGTTTCCGAATCATCGTTTTGGTTTCGGAATAAAGCCGCAACCCGATGGCTTCGGTGACCTAGGCCCTAGGCAGAATGTGCAGGTACAGTTAGGCGCAGTATATGTGTACCGCTTCATTGATCATGGAAGACTTCTTTCTTGTTCTGCACACCCTTTGCGCTGCCCCAACTTGCTCCCATACATCGAGCATATCGCTGTACTGCGGCTTTTGCAAAGCCCAGCCTTCTAGGCTCAGCTGAGATGTTTTGCGAGCGAAGTGAGACGAGTGGGTCTGGGGAAGGGAGGGAAAGGAGAGGAGGGCCACCAATCTGGGAGAGGGGTGGGGAGATGATGGCACTGTTAGCTTGTTTTGGTTTTCTGGTTAAGCCACACAGTTTGCTTGCTGGCAGGGTGCAGTTGGGCCACATGGTTGCTTAATGACGAAAGCCAGCCTTCGTAGAAGGCGCCAGCTGAGTTGTGTTTGGAGAACGAAGTGAGTAAGTAGGGGGTGTCGGGGGGTTGGCCCGAGAAAGGGCGACTTAAACTCCAAATTAGGTGGTGTTTAGGGGTCCACCGAAGTAAGGTTTTTGAGGTTGTTTTGGAGGTGATTCTTTGTGATTTTTGACGGGGGTGGTGACGCAGGAAGTGCGATGTGCATCATTTGCATCATCCGAATGGTAAGGTGTAGTTTCACAGAGGCCGATGTGTTGTGGCTTCGTGCAGCTGTGCATGAACAACAACTTTCAGAAGGAGAGAAAATATAATTGCTATATTTGAAACCAACAAGTTAGCCACAGTCTATAGGCCTCTACATGAATTAAAAATATGATAAAAATATGATAAAAATGCGACCCTGAAATGCGATTTTTATAACAGGCACCTGGAAAAATGTGACTTGCTTAATTCACATTTTGTTTTTATGAAAGTGTATGTTGAAAAATGTAAAGGGTGCATTCAAAGGAAAGTGTTACATTTTGGTGAGCTCTCTTATGGGGATTCTAGGTGTTGTCACCAAACCAACAAACAAACCCGCAAAAATTGCAACAGAAAGGGGAACTTGTATTTGTTGTGATCATCCTTTTAACCTAGGACCTAGGGCTAGGGATATGGCGCTTAGGTTTGCTCCTTCAAACTTAAAACGAGACAAGTCTTAACTCGCCCCACCCCCCAAGAACCCTCGCCCACACCAACTTTGAATTGCATTCCTCCTTCTTCTGGTTAAGCCGGTTAAGCGTTTAATTAGCCGCTAGCCTTGTCAAGTTAGAGGTTTGAGTGTTCATGGGGAGCTTGCCATAACCATTGTGCAAGTTCAAACCCTAAACCCTAAACGTTGAGACCTTTATGGCAAAAAATGGGCAGCATTTTGTTTATTTTGTATTTTTTTAAACAAGAGCGCTGGAAACCGCCCAAAGTTTACATTTTCAAAAAATGCGAAAAAATACGATTTGACATTTACATTTTTTTTGTAAATTAAAAAAATGCGAAAAAAAGCGAAAAAATACGAAAAAACCAAAAAAAATGTGAAAAACATGCGAAATAAAAAGCGAAAAAAATACGAAATGCCCAAAAAATACGAAAAAAATACGAAAAAAAGCGAAAAAACAGCGAAAAAAACACGAAAAAAATGCAAACACACAAAACAAACAAAAAAAGTACGACCTTAATTTGTACAATTTTTTCATATATTTCAAAATTACGAAAAAATGCGAAATCAATATTACATTTTTTCATATTTCTAAAAAATGCACAGCAAATTTGATTCAAATTTCATGTTTTTTCATATGTTTGTCGCGGTCTCTGTCGACCTAAGCGCTCAATACTCATTGTAGGCTCTTAATTTATGTTGAATTTTCTATTATTTTATTCACGTCGCTTCGCGACGGTAACCGCCCGCACCGCATGGGAGGGCTCAAAGACTGCAGTCATGCTCCAGGAACGGGTCAAGGTAGGTACTTCCATTGAACATAGCCCCAGAAGTCACCCCCCCCCAACGTGGCCGAACATATAGCTTCCATATTGCCTAACATAGCGCTAGAATGTGGGAACGTCGCAAATTGGTGTATCTTTTCCGCAGGTAGCTCGAGACGTTCACCGGATATTTGGCTCAACAGGAGCAGAGATAAGGAACGGTAACATTTTCTAACGAGGGCTCAAAAGGGAATGTGACTTGCTTAATTCACAATTCTGGCTGACTGACAAAGCTCTTGAAGTGGTTCACCGCTGAACTTCCCTCAAGACAAGGTAGTTGACTGAGAACACCACAAAAACAGCTGAAAAAGTTACATTTGGCAGTTGCATTTTTTGTACATTTTTTCCTTATTTTTAATTCTATAGAGGTTCATAGACTGTGGCTGGCTCCGCCGGTTTCAATGCTATATGCTATACCTCTTACACACCTATAAGTTCAAAGCACTAATGAAGCTTCGAAGCTGTGGATTGCCGCCCGTTTGAAAGGTTGTCTAGCGGTTGACGGAAAGGGAAATTTAAGTGCTATACCGAAACCTGGCAACTGAATCGTAGCTACCGCGCGCGCGCGCGCCTTGCTGGCTCCCGGTCTGCCCTAGATTTAGGCGCGCGCGCGCGTGGGCCCGCTGCAGTTTTTTTCTCTCTCTTCAAGCAAAAGGCCCGGGGCTAGAAAAGGATAGCCAGAAAAATGTGGGATGCCTATCGAATGTCCAATGGGTTTGAAAGGTGTCTACAATGGCTGACCTTCGCATTCTCTGCGATGACTAGCAGCCGCGCGCGCAAAAAAAAGTCATGATTTCGATTCTTTCTTGGGTTGAAGTCTTCTGCTTCTTCTTGATTGCCTTGGCTGGGCCCTCCTTTCGATCGGGCACTTTTTCACCTTTCAAACGGCGCAACACGCTTGCACTCTTGCTTGTCAGACACTTTTGTACATGACTTCTATGATGTGATGTGTTTGTCTAAGGACTTCAACAACAGGAAAACAACAAACATACTCAACAATCAACCAATACAAAAATAGAAACGATATCAACCATTTCTATAAACAAACATGACAACACTGCTCATCGCTCATGGACATCCGCCTCCACATTGTGAAGGGTTGAGCGCATTGCTCGTGGACATTACGCTGGCTTTCGTTATCTTTCGATTTGCAGCTTCTCAGGTGAATTTAGGAAGCGCCTCATACGTGATATCGGGTTTCGAATTCAACTCTAACATGCTTGTCAAATCAAAAAGCGTCAATTTTTCCAACGTTTTTTGTGTTTTTGCATTGGGTATGTTGTTCTTGAAGAGGTCCAAGTCTAGACATTGGGGTAGCGTGCTGAACACCAACTTCGGTCCAATTGCTGGGTTCCAGCAAGCGACAAGCCAGCGGTCTTTCTGTGGAGGATGTCCTGCGCAGTGTATGCGAGCAACCAAGGAACATGTCAAACGCACAGGGGTCGATAGGCCAGCCCCCATACCTTAACAGATATTTAAGCCTGGCCAGCCCCCCAGGTTGACCTAAGCTTGTTCAAAAGCCGAGCGGCTGAATGTGTTTGCATTTTGTCTTGTTTTGTTTAGTTCAGTTGTGTCTTGACATTTTACATGCTTGTTTGTTCCTGAATGATTAGCGCACACCTGAAGTGTTTATGAAAGTAGACTTAACATCAACCTGCGTTGATCTTGGCGAACTGCTCTGATTTTTCACCCGGCGCGCAGGAGCAATCCTTTGACGTGCATCATGTTCATCACGGGCGGCGATGGTTGGGATGTGTCACAAGGCCAGGCCCAGAACATCACAGACCTTGGCCATCTTTACCCGGCGAGTTGCAGCAGTACTACCCTTGTTGGCTGTCAGGGGTCTCGGGGACATGCCTTGACATATGCATATACTTGATCATATTTGTATATATACACATATACACACATGCACATATATATCACGCAGGCCAGCCGATAGGCTAGGCTGAAGTTTGGTTGGGCGAACGAAGTGACTAAGGGGGTGTGGGGGGATTTCGGAGGGCTAGCCCAGAGCCTGGCGGGGGAGAGCGGAAAAAAGAGTGGCAGGAGGTAGTGAAAATGAGTGTGTGTGTTTTCTTTTTTTTGGGTTGTTGTGATGCAAAGTGATGTAATTGACGGCGAGTAGTGCATCAGTAGCATCGTGAGGCTCGAGAGGATAGGAAAGAGGAGACAACGGGACGCGAAAAGTGGCCGGAACTCTTGCAGGAAAGGGAGACGTGCGGTTCTGCTGGCGATTGAAATAGTGTTCGACCGGGGGTGAAAGGGAGGTGTGTGTCTGGTAGGAAAAGAGGGCTTGCAAGAAATCTTGAAGTTGCTTGGGACTGCGACGCCCGCCCCATAGAATTCATGTAGTGATGTGGTTCCTTGAGGGCAGGAGAGAGAACAGATTGCGGGCAGCGGTGAAGAGGCCTAGTTGCTGGACTCAAAAGGGCGCCCCATATGGAGTGGGAGTTCATGTGGATGAGACAGGCACTGCGGAGGAGGAATGTTTTCTACCAGGGGTGGGGGTTTATGTCGACGCCTTACAGGGCGCGAGTTCATGCAATGATGCGGTCTGTTGAGGGCAGGAGAGAACAGATTGCAGTGGGCAAGCTTTGAATTGCTTGGGGGGCGCCCATTTTTAACGGTGAAGAGGCCTAGTTGCCGGACACGCAGCAGGCAAGCGCCCCTCACTTCCTTAGGGGTGCCCTTTAGTCACCTCCAAACCACTTCTAAACCAGGACGAAAAAGGGAATCCCCCCCCCAAACCTGTGTATTCTACTTTTTATTTCTACCACACGGGGTGGCTGCGATGTCAACTTCCCCCCCATGAAGGTACTCATTGCCCGATGTTAGCCAATCACTTGATCTTGCACACCAAGTCTTTGAGTCCATCTACAGGACATGAATAACAAACAGCGGGCAAGCGCCCCTGAGTTCCTTACGTCAAAACGCACTTAAATCGAGCGAAAGAAGTGCAACCCACATGTATTCTGCTTTCTATTTCCAACAGCAGTAGCACCACTGCTATGGCAAAACCCCCCATAACCCACAATCTCTCCCCCGGTCCTTGCGTGATCTCAGCAGTAACCTTTCTTCGGTCCACTCTTAGCAGCACACCGACTTTATGAGCTTATCTGCAACACAAAACAAAGCAACAGCACGCCAACACCTCTCCGTTACTTAGGGATACTGTACCTTTTTTATCTTCACAGCGCCCCTTGAGCAACAAGAGGAGGGGCACCCCACTCCCCCACGTTTACTACAACTCTCCATTTCTGCCATTTATGTCACCATTCTTGACACTGTTTCAGTGCGCTCCCGACTTCACCCCCCATTTCCATGTTGATGTGTTCTAACCGAGGCTGGCTTTCGCCTCCTCCCTTCTCAGGTGTATATACGTAATATATATAGTATTTCTTGGACGTCCCACAACGGTATGGTGAGGGCGAAGCTACCGAAACTGTCCATGACTGTCTTGCCAACCCAAAACATGTGCAGACTTGGCCGCGAGGTTTGCAGCGAAGCGCTGTCTTCAACATTCCCTTGATGATTGGAGTTGCAAATTCTTGGGCCAATTATTTGGCCCTCCCGCCGAAATACAAAGCCTTGATCCTTGGCTTTGCTTCATTATTACCTACTTTTGCCTTGAGGTGACCAACCTGCAACATGACTAGTCAAAACATTGGCTGATGGTCCGGCAAAGACAGGGGTCAGACAAAGACGCACACCAGCGCAACCAGAGGGTTTCACACATGGGCAACGCATTGTTGATCTCCTGACTTGTTCAGGCATGCTGCAGTTTACGCAAGGAGACGAGTGAACTGACAGTGAGCTAGCTCAGAGTTTGAACAAAACTTAGTGCCGCTGTTGGATTTGCAAACTTTGGTGCAAGAATGCAAGACGTTTTTGCTCTGAGAAGTCTCACCACCAGAGTGTTGTGTCAAGGAGGAGTGCCCTGGCAAAAATGTAATATAATAGTCTCCCATCAAAACGTCATAGAACCTAGCAACGTTTCGCACGCGAGTTTCTTGGAGTGAATTGCGAACATTGTACGGGAGGTCACGCAACTCAGTGTCCAAGGTTGAGCCAAGGAGGTTGTGTCAAGGAGGCATCACGCGAGTGCTCAGAGTGCTCAGTGATTGTGTCGTACAGTACTCTCAGGGCTCGTCAAATTGGGTCAGGCTTTTGCTTCTGCTCCTTGGCCGCTGGCCGTTGCCTGGGCATTCGATTGGGCTTCAGCCGCCAAGGCCAAGCCACGCCTTGTGGCTTCGTCTTGGTCTCCGCTTTGCATTTTGTGGATTCCTTTCGGCAGTCTTTCGGAGTGTGGGGCTGCTCAGAATGTTGTTCACCATGTTTTTTTTGGTCGTCGCTTTGGTCTTTGCTGTCCTTTAGCCGCTGGCCTTAGGCGTCATGTTTTGCAGTCGGGGCCCGTGCAGTGTTGCTCCCTCGACCTACTGCTGACAGGGGCCCATTACCGGAAGGGAGACCTGCCAACTGGCAGGTGACAAAGGTTTTGTCGAATTCTTAGCCATGGGCCATGGGCCCACGTTCTTCAGCTGCACGTGGGACGCGGAAACAAACGCTTGCTTCTACAACCTGGACAAAGAGGCCAGATGCACAGGGCTTCGAGGACACGCCGCCTTGGTGTTTGTTGCAAATGGTGAAGCTGAACTTCAAAAGGCTTCGCAGGAGGCCGCACGATGGCTGCGACCTTGGACGCCACCCCGCCCGCCGCCTCGAGGTTGCAGAAGGTGTTGAGTACCACCGCAACGACGCTGGCACCTTCCTTTCGGGCGACCTTCTGGCGACCTTTGAACTGCTGGAGGAGCACCAACCAAGTGAACTCACCCAGGATGACCAGAACAAGGGGTGGCAGAGCGCCACTTTCACCGAGAACGAAGGAAATTGACCTTTCGACCTCAAACTTTTGAATCAGGCTCGCCGTCGCTCAGAGCCAGGCTATTGTGACTACTGATTGGGTGCCAAATCAGGTCCTCATCTATGCATATGACACGTCAGCAAAATGCTTCATCTATGCGAACCATGACTATGCGAAGGAGAGAGCCTCGTTCAATCAGGATCTCCGAGACATCGTTGTGCGTCGCCGGGAACGGCTTGACCGTGGTGAGGAAGCAGACGACAATGCAAGGAAGCAGTCGTTGCTGGCAAGGTCGAGATGGGACCTGTTCGGCAAATATGAGAAATGGGTGCATGGAGCCTGGGTGGAAAATGCTTTCATCCTCGAGTCGTACAACCGTGAGTTTTGTAAGGGTCAGCTCGAGCATGCAGATGCCAATGTCGGAACCTATACTACTCCGTACATGGCAATTGCATGGCAGCCGGAAGGCGATGCCCCGAACAACTCGGCATGGCCTTTGTCGCTGGGATCCGTGGACTGGGGGCGTTGGACTCCCGAGATGGAGACGCGCTATGATCCTCGAGGCAATGAGAAGTTCTTCACATCACGGTGGATCACTGTTCGTCAGCATGACGTCGATCCGCAATACTGTGCCGACTGCAATGCCGATTCACCATTCGGATGTTTGTCGCGCTTGAACTGTGGGCGACTTGCACGCGTCGCGACAGATTTGAGAAAAGCTTCGCTCCTTGTCCGTCTTGAAAACTTAGCCGCGAGCTTCGGTTTCGATTTGTCGTTGGATATGTTCCCAGATGACGACATTCGTGCCCGGGGGGACCGTGGGCTTAGGAATCCTGCAGGTGGTAGGGTCAGGACTGGACAATCAGCCATCGCGACGATCCGAGCACACGCCAAATCGCACACGGACAAAGCCTCAAAATTGGAGTTTGGCTCGCTCACAGAGCGTTTATGCTTGGATCCGTTCTATGCGTTCAACTGCGCGGCGCAGGACATGTCCCCTGACTGTCTAAAATTTCTCCAACGACTCAGTTCGGCGGTATTGCCTATTCCAACGCGTACCGCGCAGCAAATCCAAGATGGGGTAGGCATCAATGTGAAAGCAAAGATCCTCATGATCCCCGACACATCTCAGCGCGAGGTCGACGTGTCGAATGAGGTCTTTGTGTTCTGGAAGAACAAGATCCTACGCCCTGGTGTCTTTGTTGGACTGTACTCGATGGAGAACAACCGTTTCGAAGTCTTGGGATTTTCTGGCTCATTCCTCTCGGAAGAGAAGGACGTCGAGAAGCTCAAAACGGAGTTCGTCAGCTGGTTGTCTTCCGACCTCCAGAGCATCCCGTCTTACGAGAATCTCGTACGTGCAGACCCGAGGAGTATCAACGTGCCAGAGAGGGAAGGCGTCGATCGCGCAAAGGGAAAAGGAAAGGGGTCATGGCGTCACGCCGGTCGTCCAGCTCGTGAGAATGCTCCTTACCCCAGGAATCGATGGGCGCGAGACTGGAGAGACCTAGACGACGACGCTGGCACCATTCCAGGCTGGCATCATGCAGATTGGACATGGTACCAAGACACGTATGGAGCGGATTGGTGGAGACAGGGGCGGTGAGAACCACTTATGCACGGCGGGAGCCGGTGCCATTCGCTAGTTGTGCATCTCAGTTTACTCAGTGTATGTTGTCGCACTTTGCCATGATTGGTGCCAAAGGGTTCTCCAACGCTCTAGCTCGCTCTGCGGAAGCAGAAGCCTCACGTTGATATCTTTTGAGGCTGTCCGCATTCTTTGCTAGGCTACAATTCAATTTGCCGAAGTGCACTCTTCCGAAAGGGAAGCATTGATCAGCATGCCGCGTGGAAACGTGTGCCTACGTAAGAGGCCCATTTTCACTTTTGACGAGCTGTGGATGCATGTGAAAAGCGCTGTGTCCGATTTGCAATCGTCCGTTCGGCAGTTGACTTTCGATCCTATTTGAGTTAATCGTCCGTTCCATCGCGCCTCAGGTCGGCAAAGAATCTATGAAAGCCGTAGGCGCGTTCGGTGTTGACCGCAAGGGATACACCGGGGAACCGGAGGTCAGAGAGGTATGCACGTTGTCCCGTGTACAAAGTCGTGTACAGCTTACTTCACTACCTTTGCTGCCAAGTGCGTTCAGTGGGGGGTGTATTTGCACGATTGTACCCCTGTACATACCATATTGACCTCTATGTTTGGCTCAAGAAAAGGGCGCTCTACATGTTGGTACTTGTAGGCTGTTGGCCTGTAAATACACTATCATGTACTATCAATTTGTCCGTGGGTTCATTTTTTTTTACTATTTTTGTTAAGTCAGTCCTTTACGGATGAGCGCACATTTGGAAAGCAGTTTGTTCCCAATCTTCATGCGAATCTTTTCTTGACTGCTCGGTTCCCAGTGACTTCAGCGTGCGGTCTTAAACAGGTCAGAAATGTGGAGCAACAACTTGGGCAAACCTGTGCGAAATCTGAGCGCGAAACGCGAGTTCCAGGGAACTTCAGCGGCCGCAGCCGAGAGGTTCCGAATGCATAGTTGCACGCCTGCTGACCACCTCAGCAATCATTGTTGTGTCATGTTGTTTGAGTTAGAGGTCGCCGAGGTTGAAGCTGGGGGTCGAAAGCTATTCTTTTTCTTTTTCTCATTGGTGAGCCAAGGATATATTGGTGGACGCCAGACAACTCATTCTTGGAGCTGGACCCGCAGCCATTCGTTTTGCCGCCCCAGGACAAATTCGCCTACAGCCAAGGTGATGTCACGACGGCGTCCGAAGATGTTGATATCGCCAAGGTTATCAGTTTCGACTTGGACTTCATGGCGCCCAACTTGGTGAAACTTTTGGGCCAGAGCTTGTTCCGAGGCTGCAGTGTGCAAGAGAAAGGGCCAAACACCAAGCTCTAAGGTGTGAAAAGTCGGGTGGGGGTTGGCCATGCTCTGAGGATTTCAATGGATGAGGTCAATGACATGATGCGCACATGGAAGGCCAATTCTTCAGCTTCGCGGCACGAGGTAGCCTGCGACTGGCTGAAGAACAACGAGAAAAGGTGGCGAAGTTGGATCCCCGATCCGACCGTTTGCAACCGAGGCCCGGCAAAAGGACCCGACACCATGCGTGAGATGACGAGTTTGTTCTGTTGTTCGCGGGGTTTCTGCATTGCGACAGACTTCCTCAAGTCAAAAGATTGACCTTGCAGAGGCTCTGGGCTTTATAGCGAGGCAACTGGACATTTCACAGCGACAAGAGCCGCCGCTGATTCCTGCCGAGCTTGTTCACCGGGCATGTACTCTACTCCACTGCAAGACAATGTGGGAAACACCTATGTGTTTCTCGGATGTGCCACACATTTTTCCAGCACCGGGCAAATAGCATTTCGCTGCCTGTCACTGCCTGTTTGGGACTGGTTACCCCCGACCGGTGCGAGGTGTCAGCCGTGCTCGGCTGGAACTCAGCAATTATCGGCTGGAGTGGTGGAATGCGACGCGTGTCCCAGTGGCACTTTCAAAGCTGCTCAGTCAGTTGATGAGTGTGCTCCATGCGCCCTGGCAGAAGGAAAGGTTGTTGATTATGGTTGAACGTAGTGACGTAGGCAACCTGGGACACAACTGCCACTTTCCTGAGGCCTTTCAGGCTACTACCAAGATGAGCTCGGGGCGCTCGCCTGCAAGAAATGCCCAGAGGGCACGACGACCCTGCTTTTGGGCACCAAGTCAGGATCGGGTCAGCCCAGTTCAGTTGTAAGGTGTGCTGAGATGCAATGCATCCAAACCTCAGGAATCTAAGGCATCCACTCGACTCTGGAATTTAGGCAGACGGGTGACTCAACTTGGGCACAGCATGTGGGTGTAGGGTGGATTGCTTTTCTTTCTTGGTCGAGCTGCGCAGGACTTGGCTGCGGCTGCGATGAGGGCAGCATCGACGTTTCAGGGGACTCTTGATTGCCAGTCAGGCAGCACCATTGATATATCAAAACATGTTGGCTAACCGCCATAGACTCGTTTTTCGACCGCGTGGCTGAGGATTTGTCCACACCTGCTCTTTGTCAGCCATGTTTGGAGGGGCTCACATGCCCAACCATGTCGACTCTGGAGAACTTGAAAGCAGGTTCTAGCCCATTGGGCCCGACAACTGTTCCGCAGGCCGGATCGATTTCAGGCAGAGGTTGCAGTCTAAGGGGGGAACGGACGACAACTGATGCGCTATGCCAGCTATTCCGTTTATGCTGTTGTCGGGCTCACCCGTGTGAACGGCCGCGTGTTATGATTACATGTGTGTTAGCGTTGTGTTTTCGATAGATCAGAAAATGCCTGGCAGGTTGAAGCGGGCTATTACACCACAGCTGCCGATCCATTGGTCACCTTCAAGTGTGTCAATACCTTGGATTGTCCTGGAGGCACGCCTGGCACTTGCGGCGGAGCCCTGGAAGGAGTCCCTTGCGGAGATTGCCCTCAAGGTACATTCTATGCCGGCGAGGCTGCCTGTGAACAGTGCTCAGCGGGCGCCATCATTGCTTGGATTGTTTCTTTGGGCCTGGTTCTTCTTGGCCTGATTTGGGCTTACCATTTTCTGAATTCCCCAGTCACCGCCAAGGCGTCCACCCTTTTCAGCACTACTTGTGCGATTGGAATGATGATCAACCTGCTTCAGAACTTGGGAATCATTGGGACCATGTCAGTGCCTTGACAGAATGCAATGCTTTTGTTTCTTACAGATCTTTGGGCATGTGCTGCCCAGTGGAGAACACATGCAAATTGGTGGTTCTTTGTCGTGCCCAAAGCTACAGACTTGTCCTGAGCAAAAAAACCTGTGTAGTCTTACCCGAAGGGTTGAGCAGTGATTGAGTATTTACCAGGCTACCGCCTGCAGCCGCCGACCCCCAAGGGATAGAACCTTAGCGCTAGCCTTGTTCTAGCCAGAGAGGTGGGGTGAGGCGTGACTGTCGATTTTAGCCTTAGCCTTAAGCCTTAGCCTCAGCCTTAGCCTAGCCTTAGCCTTAGACTTAGACTTAGACTTAGACCTTACCTCCCCTACCCCTCCGGACCCGGGTTTTGTTGTAAAAGGGAGTTGTAGGATTTCCAAGGTTTGCGTAGAAAATTGCAATCCTATTTTCTTCCATTGTTGTAGAATTTTCTAGCCTTCCTCTTGTGTTTAGGTTCCCAGATTTCCCCAAAAATTGATTAACCTATTGTTAACCTATTTGATTCTAGTGTTCCCGGCCAATGCCCTGGAACTTTCCTAGGAATGCTCTAGGCTTTGTTTAGATTTTGCGCTGGACGAGGTCCGGCCAGTGCCCGTGGTAACGTGAAAGGCTCTGGTAAGATTTTCGCATGCCTGTCAGGCGCCCGTGTCCGCGCCATGTGGCGTGTTGGTTCTAGGACGGAGCAGCGCAAACGGAAACAAAATCTAAACAAAGCCTAGAGCATTCCTAGCATCCAGTCGAAAACGTAACAAAATCTAAACAAAGCCAAGAGCATTCCTAGGAAAAATCAAGGGCATTGGCCGGGAACACTGGCATAAAATAGGTTAGCAAAAGGTTAACAATTTTGGGGGGAAATCTGGGAACCTAAAAGCAAGAGGAAGCGCTAGAAAATTCTTGCAAAAGCATCCAGCCGAAAACGTAACAAAATCTAGACAAAGCCTAGAGCATTCCTAGGAAAAGCCTTTGAAAATAATCTGGAAACCTAAAAACAAGAGGAAGCGCTAGAAAGTTCTGGGAAAAGCATCCAGCCAAAAACGTAACAAAATCTAGACAAAGCCTAGAGCATTCCTAGGAAAATGCTGGAAAAGCCTTTGAACATCCCATAAATCCAACAGAAAACGTGACAAAATCTACGAAAAAACAAGGGCATTGGCCGGGACCACGCCGCGACCAGCCCGGGATTCGAGCCGGGGACCATTTTGGACCGTGCTTATTTTCCCGCGCGGGTGGAGAGGGTGCCCCAAGATGTAAATCAATTGGGATGGCAGAATCTTGGACGATCCAGGTCGCCATCACGTCGCACTTTGGTAGCAATCACGTCGCACTTTCGTCATTGCAACAAGGGTCCGGAGGGGTAGGGGAGGTAAGGTCTAGGTCTAAGGCTAAGGATTAGGTCTAAGGCTAAGGATTAGGTCTAAGGCTAAGGATAAGGCTAAGTCTAAGGATAAGGCTAAGTAATCTAAGGCTAAGGCTAAGGCTCAGGCTTAAGGCTAAGGCTAACATCGACAGTCACGCCTCACCCCACGGTGTGGGGTCGGCGGATTTTGCGCACATGTGGTCACTCAAGGTTTTTGCACCAAAAAAACTGCAATTTCTGCCTCCCTGCCAGGTGCCTTGGCCTGTGAATTTGGCCGGCTTCTTCAGCTTCATGGAAGTCTTCACCTTTGACATCGATGGCCTGGCCTTCGCTTGCATCAGTGGCGCGCAGCCGGTGTGGCGCTACGTCTTCACGGTGTGCTTCTTCCCTGTGGGCATCCTGTGGTTGGCCTTCTGCGGCGCAGTGAGCCGATGCATTCCCAGGCTGCAAAGCTGGGACCCCGCCACGCGACAGCGCATTCAAGTTGGGTTCACCATGACAGGTGGTTCCAAGGTGGTTTGAAGAGAACTTTAGCAGGCCATCTTGAGAAGGCCTGGCATATGCTCTGAATTCCTTGAGCTTTGCATGCTCAATGCTCAGGTGAAAGTCCGGAGCACCATTGGTCAATTTCTGCAGGTGGGTTTTTCAACCATGAGCAGCACTGCTTTGGTTCCATTGGTTTGCTACTCCCATCCAAGCGGACAACGAAGCAACTTCAAGAACCCCAACATCATTTGTGGCTCTGAGTCGCACACGGTTATGGTGATCTTTGGCAGCCTGCTGCTGGTGTTTGGCTTCCTGAAAGCACTGAAGAGATGCGAAGAGTTCATGAGGATCTCTGGGGCCCCTGGCCACGACCCCCTCCACTAACCTGGGTCTAGGTGGCCCGACTGTGCGGTGCAACTATGGTCCTTACTGGTAGGCAGGTTGCGCCGGGCGGTGGTGATTTGGACCATCGTGATAATGATATTTAGGATTTGTCAAGCTAAGCATTTCGTTGTGTGTGTGTGTGTTTGCACCTTGGTCCTTGGTAGTCTTTTGACTTCTTACTTTAGCGGGGGGCTCGCGGATGGATAGATGGCATGAGCCAACGACGATAGATCCACGTCGTCGTCAAAACGCACCTGCGTTTGACCGCAGACTTGCTTGTGCATGCTTCATGACTTGTGTTCCAGGATGTTCGAACACTACTACTATTGTCATACTAAACTTGGGGCAGCCCACAGGACATCATATCGGCCCAAGTGGCCACAGCTCGTCTTGGCCCCTTCCTCTTCCCCCCTCTTTTGTCTAGGTGTCGCTGGTCTCCTTGCCACAGAAGCAACCAGCAGGCAGGCAAGCAGGCAGGTTGATATCCTTTAAGCCCTCCTTTAAGCATAGCCATTGCAAATAGATATAGATATAGAAGAAGCAAAAGACACAAGCAAACAAACTCACAGACAGAGACAGCGGCATGTTTGTAGGAGGCAGACGAGACAGCCCGCGAGACAGGCAAAAGGCAGAGAGTAGGTTCTTGTTTGGTTCTGTTCCCCGCCCTGTCTGTTTGCAGGTGGTAGGTTGCTTGCCTTCCTAGGTTGGCCGTGCTGTCTCTGGTCTCCCGCTTTTCTCCTGTTCTTTATGTCGGAACTTCCGAGTTGCCGGACAACTTCGTTGCCGGTTGTTCATGCTCCTTCGCCTCTCGTTCAGGACCTCCTCGCGCAGGTGCTCCGGTCCTTTAGACCTTTGCTCTGTCTTCTCCGTCTTTGCCTTTTCGGTAGGTGGCCCGGTCCCTCGCCATCCCTCGCAGGTTGGAGGCCTTCCCTTTCGCCTTTGTCTTTGACCACTCCTCCCTTTTCCTTGCCCAGTTTCTATGTTTTGTTTCCTCCTTTTGTCGCTTGCGCGTGACACGAGCCAGCGAAGACAGATCGCTGTAGTTCACTCCTGGGTCTGGGTGACAGCTGGAGGATCTCAAGCTCTTGGTCCCTGTAGCATGAACAATTCGGCCCACCGTTGCATCGTGTTGTGCTCGGCAGACACGCGTTTGGACGGAGAAATTCGTTCGGAGACAGACTTGGATGGGTATGCTTCATGACATATTTGTGATTCGAGCACTACTTCGTGTCTTGTGTGTGTGTTCTACTTACTGTAGGTTTTTTAGCCTAGGATTCTTCGAGCGCTTTCCGTATGTACTGAGAATCTCAAGTGCGCATTTTTTGGTTGGGAGCGGTTCGGTTCATGGTTAATCCATGGCACATCAGAAACACTGAGGCGTATGCGGGTTTTTGGCCCTTTGCGCATGGTTGGCGTACATGTGCCCAACTTTCAGCAGTACAGGGCGTTATGGCATGGTTCAGAGCTCACGATTTCTCCTTGGCCGTTTCCGTCTCGATGTTTGGTGGTACGGCGTGCCCCTTCTGTTGCGCGGATCCTTGGCGTTCGGAGAGACACCGTGGTCCCGGCGGTGTGTGTGGTTGGCTGAGGTGTTTGGGGTTTTTTGAGGGTCGGAGTTTGTGTCGTATGCGTATGCCAAGACAATGTTGCTAGTTGGGTTTCCCTCCGACCATACGCGTTGAATTGGCTGTACGGAGGGGGAACTCGTATGTAATGGCATCATGTTTTTTGTCCTCGCGCGCGCTTGGCAGCCATTTCGGATTTGTGGCGGCGATAAACGCTGCTTTGATAGGCCTAGTGATGGGTAGTTTCACTGACTGGTGGTATGTTGACAGGCGAAAAAACGCGCTGAGGTCTTACAGGTCTTACAGGTCTTAGCTGGTGAGCCATCCATGGCTTGGCGTGACACAGAGCTCCCAGGTATTTGGTGAGAAGTGCTGTGAGGTTTTTCGGGTGAAAAGAAAGGCTTCCCCACAGCCAGACCCACAAGGTTTCCGAAAACCAGCATCGTTGGGAAGCCTGGCGCTCCACTTGCATCGTGCCAGGTGCAAATGCCCGGCAACATCCAATCTTATTACTAGCCCTCACATGTGGGTTGTAGATATTTCATGAATTGGTACAAGTGTTTGGACAGGACAAGTCAATTTACCAGTGCTTTTTGGGTCCAAATCCCATGTTGTTGTTTCTTCTTTCAAATTCCGAAGGCACTTGGCACTGCCACGTGAACAGCTTTTCTTGGCTCTGACAGGTCCGCTGTTGGCGATGAGTGCAGTGATCTTCCCAGATTCGGCGGCAATTCAAATCCTTTGCTGCCAAATTATTCTGATCTTCTACATTTGTCTTCAGGTTGGATCAAGATTCAGTTTCGCTGCCCTGCTTTTGCATGGTGCGCATTTGGGTTAGCGCCCTTCCGCGTGTCAGCATGGTGTGGTCACCCCTGAGGTGTACAGTTGGCCCTGGAAAGCGCCCATCTTGAACATTGTGGACTTTGTGACCTGTTTGTCCTTGGCAATCTTGGTGGTCTTGACGGGCCTCTATGTGCCTGAAGTCACAGGCGACACACTCCGTGCAGTGCAGGTCTGCAGCATGATCTTGCTGGGCATCATCTTTGGTGTGGTTGGCCTGATGATTCTCCTGGCAATTGTGGCCTTGTTCCACCGTGCTGCAATCGGTAGCCAGCAGGATTGACAGTTCAGAATTGGAGATGCCAAAAGATCTGCAAGTTCTTTGGTTTTTAGCTGTTGGTTTCTTTTTCACCAATAGCGATGGCTTGTGGTCGTACACTCGGACCGAGGTGGCCGCGCGCCGTCGGACCCGCGACGGCCGTCGCGCCTGGGTGGTGTCTCGATGTCCCAGTGTCTATAGGTCATGAGTCATGTCTCAGTGGGGGCTGTTTCTGTCGTGGTCTCTTGGTGTTTTGGTCATGTCTCCGTCCTGTTTGGGTGGTGTCTAGGTCCTGTTTCGGTGATGTCTCGGTCATGCTTCGGCGATGTCTTGGTCATGTTCTGGTGGCGTCTCGGTCGTGCGTAGGGCTTAGGTGGTTTTTTGGGTTATGTTTTGGTGGTGTCTCAAGCGTTGCCCCTCTTTTCGTTTGGCAGCAGTATTCTGCTGTCGGTTCTTACGAATGCCAGTGTGTAGCCATGTCTCAACACCTATCGTGCTTGGTGTTTTTTGTGTGTATATGTTTTCCCTTGCGCTTGAGTTAGTGTGGTGCCTAATTTTTTGCGCTCGGTATTTGTTGGGATGTATCAATTGAGCGTGGGCTCTTGAATAGATTCGGCCATCAGCGAACTTTCCTTAAGTACTTTGTGGTCTTACTTTCGTGGATGCTGAACTTGTCAGTTTTTTTTTCACAAACGTGCGGTGGCGTTGCAAAAATAACACTAGGTTTGGTGGTAACTGTGTGTTTGACATCATACAGTTGCTTCCTTGATATTCCGCTTTTTGCATCGTTCGTGCAAAAGCCACGTGTCGGCGCATGTGCATACATACACTTTCACTGCTAGGACGTGTTTTCTGGCAAGATATCCTCTTTGGTTGTGATTGTTGCGCGTGCTTTTGTCAAGACTGCGCGTTTGTGTGGCCAAACGTGTATCTTCGCGGGGGCATTGCTTCAAGTATGTTCTCCTGCCCTTGACATATATCCGTTGCGCTCATTGCACTTCTCATGTATATATTACACGGCCGGGGTAAGTACATATATAATCATATATATATACATAGACTTAGACTATGGGGTTGCGTGTGGATATAGTTATATATGCGCTCTTAAACTGTTTTCGACATTCGATATGTGAACCAACAACACAATGAGCAACATGCGCAGAAGAAATGCGCCAGATGTTGGTGGGTGCTTTGCATATGGGGCTGTCAGCTGGGTTGATTCTTGGGGGGGCGTGCTAACCCGACAGCAACCAGTCAGGGATCGTAAAAGGCAACAGGGATCCAACAAAAGCAGGGTTTCCCAGAGAACGCCCTCTCTGATCCTTTGCTTTGGGGCGAATTCATTTCCTCCACACACACACACACACACACGCACTTATTGAAATGCATACTGACTCGAATGCCGCTCGCCGCACGGCAACCTAGGGATACCAAAATCTTGAATAGATCAGGAGAAGCCCAACGGAACCTAGGGGTCTTCAAAAGGAAGTGAGGCCAAAAGCGCAAGAGAACCCAACCGACGAACGCGGGGCGAGCAGGGTGACGACGTACGTGCATGTCTCCAGAATGCAGCTAGCACTTTACGACTCAACTCATTAATTGTTAAAAATCAAGCAGGTACACAGAGCTGATCAGGCTCTGCTTCCAGCACAAGTGGATAGCTTCGTTGGGTGCAGTCTCCACTGTGCTCTGCACCCCCCTGCTTAAAAATCAAAAGAAGCATTCCAACAGGAACCTTGCGACTCCAAAGGCCACACACACACGCACACACTTAGAGAAATGCGTACGGATGGGAATGCGGTGCCACACGCCAGCCTAAGTGAAAAAACACCTAAGGAAACAGGGCAAGTAAAGTTAAATTAGAGGCCACCGCTAGAAGTTGGAGGCCATCGCCCAAGTTTGCATGGAGGCCATCGCTAGTAGGTTAGACGCACAAGCTGACAGCAACAAGGTTAGAGGTCATCGCTAATGGGTTGGAGGCCATAGTGCCAAGTGGGAGGCCAGCGCAACAAGTTCACAGCAAGCATGTTTACAGCAAGCAGCTGTGCCCACCGTGCCCACCCCAACTCTGCAGACTGACTAGGAATGCATCCAGTCGAACAGAGCGGACGCGCCGGCCGTAAGGGCAACCGGCATATAAACTACTAGAAGCACACCAAAAATAGGAAGAGGCCATAGCAACAAGGTTGGAGGCCTGCGCTACAGGTTAGGAGACCCACAAGATACAAAGCAGCAAAAACAAAAAGGCAGCAAAAAAAGAACAAAACCAAATAATCTGGATTGTGACTCCAAGGGTTGCACTGCAACATCGTGGTACACTTCAAGATTTGTGCGTGTCATTCGTTCAACAAAAATCAGAAGGATCCCTCTGTCTCCAAGGGTACACGCTTATAGAAATGCGTACGGATGTGAATGCGGTAATCCCGTTCACAATTCAAAAGAACCCCTGTGACTACAAGGGGCACACACACACACGCCTCCAAGAGGGGAGGCCAAAAGAATTAAGGCCAGGACGGTTGTGTAAATGCGCGCGACAAAGACAAAAGGATGAAGACATGAGAAGGAAGACAAGACGGGACAAAAAGGTGTGTGGTTGCAATGAAAGAGAAACCAAGTGCACAGGGACAACCGATGAACCCCACCTCATTGTAAAGACCTGGGCGACCCAAAACCTGTGTTGAAAATGTATGTAGAAGTGCACGTACACACTAAGGGCCGGGACCAATGTGCGCGCAAACGAAGAAAGGGATGAGATGACCAGACATGAAGACAGGAGGACATGAAAGAAAAGAGGAAACCAAGGTGTGTAAAATGGAAACGGATGAAAAGGGGAACCAAATGGAGGGGACGAGAACCGATGAAGCCGAACCTCATTAGAAACACCTAGGAGGACCTCGCCTCGTTTGCATGTAAACGCTGTGTGCACCTGAGAATGGTACAGATTCCAATGAACCTTGAACAGGCTTTGGTCGCTGCGACCACGTACGGATTGCGCGAGGGCTGCCACCTTTGACCGCTGCGGTCCTTCAGGCTCACCCTGGGCTCTCACGAGGAGAGACACACTTAGAGAAATGCGTACGGATGTGAATGCGGTGCCACACGCCAGCCTAAGTGAAAACACACCTGAGGAAACGGGGCAAGTAAAGTTAAATTGGAGGCCATCGCTAGAAGTTGGAGGCCATAGCCCAAGGTTGGAGGCCGACGCTAGTAGGTTAGACGCGCAAGCTGACAGCAACAAGGTTAGAGGTCATCGCTAATGGGTTGGAGGCCATAGTGCCAAGTGGGAGGCCAGCGCAACAAGTTTACAGCAAGCATGTTTGCAGCAAGCGCCTGTGCCCACCCCAACTCTGCAGACTGAATAGGAATGCGTCCAGTCGAACAGAGCGGACGTGCCGGCCCTAAGGGCAACCGGCGTATAAACTACTAGAAGGAAACTAAAATAGGAAGAGGCCATAGCAACAAGGTTGGAGGCCTGCGCTACAGGTTAGGAGGCCCACAAGACACAAAGCAGCAAAAACAAAAAGGCAGCAAAAAAAAACAAAAACAAAAGATCTGGATTGTGACTCCAAGGGTTGCACTGCAACATCGTGGTACACTTCAAGATTTGTGCGTGTCATTCGTTCAACAAAAATCAAAAGGGTCCCTCTGACTCCAAGGGGTACACACTTATAGAAATGCGTACGGATGTGAATGCGGTAATCCTGTTCACAATTCAAAAGAATCCCTGTGACTACAAGGGGCACACTTCGAACTTGGGTTTTCAGTTAGACTCAGTTGCCACGTTGGGAAGGAAGGTGAGGGAACGGCAAGGTGAAAGGGTCCGGTGACTTGTATTGTTTAACAAAAGTTTCACTCGCGCGGCTGAAATACAGTGTACAGGCTGCTGAACGAGGCGGTGGGAAACCTGTTTATGGGAGGAGACATGCAACCACCATGAATCAAAAAGTGGAAAAGTAGGGTGACAGCTTGGGAAAACCTCAGCAGGTACACGCCAAAGCGTCCTTTGGTGCTTCCCCTGTCACATCCCAGCTTCGTTGGGCCAGGTTGAATGTGACAGGCCTGGCCCCCCTGCCTTTGGTAAAATGGAAAGTGGTCACAGTGGTAGTGGAAAGGTGAAACGGTGAAAAGGTGGGTCCTTAGAACCAGGGTGTGACACACACAAAAAGCCGTAATCGGCGCACGGAGTGAGCGGTGGAAACGCGCATCTTTTTCTCTGCAAGAAATGGCGCCAGCGCGGCGCAGCAGCTGAAATTGAAATTGAATGTGGTTGAAATCGGTCCTGAGTGGATGTGCAATGGTGACGACCTGTCATGTAATGCAATCTTTGAGAGCTGTGGTGTGAAAGACGGTGAAATCTGAAATCTGTCAAATGGCTGCAGTTAAAATTTGCGGGAGTGAGCAAACGCACAACGCACAAGTGGAAGAAATTCAGAAATCAAGGTAGGAATTCCATCGTTTATAGCCCGGCGGCTCGAAAATCAGGAAATTCAGGGATAAAGTGGAAAACGTGGAATCAGTTATAGGAAAGAAAAACGATGCATTCCGGAATGAAAACAGCGCCTCCTTTCGGAGGGTCGCACCCAGTACCCATGTGGGAAGACTGAGCGGTCCACACTTCGAACTTGGGTTTTCAGTTAGACTCAGTTGCCACATTGGGAAGGAAGGTGAGGGAACGGCAAGGTGAAAGGGTCCGGTGACTTGTATTGTTTAACAAAAGTTTCACTCGCGCGGCTGAAATACAGTGCACAGGCTGCTGAACGAGGCGGTGGAAAACCTGTTTATGGGAGGAGACATGCAACCACCATGAATCAAAAAGTGGAAAAGTAGGGTGACAGCTTGGGAAAACCTCAGCAGGTACACACCAAAGCGTCCTTTGGTGCTTCCCCTGTCACATCCCAGCTTCGTTGGGCCAGGTTGGATGTGACAGGCCTGGCCCCCCTGCCTTTGGTAAAATGGAAAGTGGGTCACAGTGGTAGTGGAAAGGTGAAACGGTGAAAAGGTGGGTAACCCTTAGAACCAGGGTGTGACACACACACACACGCCCCCGAGGGGCGGCAATCATTGAGTCTATACTGCATTAAGCTCACCCAAAGTTACATACACACGCCTCCCCGAGGGGAGGCGAGAAGCGCTAAGGTCTGGGCAAATGTCTGAGTGTGCGCGCAATAAGACACAAGAATGAAGACATGAAGAGGAGAAAAGACGGGACAAAGGTGTATGTGGTTGCAATGAAAAGGAAACAAGTGCACAGGAACAACCGATGACAACCCACCTCATTGTAAAGACCTGGGCGACCTGACACCTGATTTGAAAGTAGGTTGTGCATGTACAAACTAAGGGCCGAGCCGTGTATACGCAAAAGAAGGAAAGAGATGAGATGACAGGACATGAAGCAAGGGAAGACATGAAAGAAAAGAAGAGAGAAGAAGTGTGTAAAGGGGGAAAAAGGATGAAAAGGGGGAACAAAATGGAGGGGACGGGAACCGATGAAACCAAACTTCATCACAACGACCTAGGAAAACCTGCCTCGTTTGAATGTACACGCTGTATGTGCGCCCAAGGTCTCGACAGGTTCCAATGAACCTTCAACTTGCTTTGGCTGCTATGGTCACCGTGTGCCGTGCCAACATGGCTGGCTGCTCAGACCGCTCCGGTCACCTAATGGCTTGCTCAAAAGCTGCCTACTTGTACTCCATAATTCAGCAAGTCTTGGTAAATGACTTTGGCCTAAGCCTACTTTGTCCGCTGCGGACTACTCTGGTCCCGGGCGCAGGGACGAAGACAAACCCCCGTTCAACGGGTAACCTAGGGATACCAAAATCTCGAATAGATCAGGAGAAGCCCAACGGAATTTAGGGGGAGGCCAAAAGCGCAAGAGAACCCAACCGACGAACGCGGGGCGAGGGTGACGACGTTTGTGCATGTCTGCGGAATGCAGCTAGCGCTTTACGACTCAACTCATCAAATTTTAAAAATCAAGCAGGTACACAGAGCTGATCAGGCTCTGCTTCCAGCACAAGTGGATAGCTTCGTTGGGTGCAGTCTCCACTGTGCTCTGCACCCCCCTGCTTAAAAATCAAAAGAAACACTCCAACAGGAACCTTGTGACCCCAAAGGCTACACACACACACACACACGCCCCCGGAGGGGCGGCAATCATTGAGTCTGAACTGCATTAAGCTCACCAAAAGTTACATACACATGCCTCCCCGAGGGGAGGCGAGAAGTGCTAAGGTCTGGGCAAATGTGTGAGTGTGCACGCATTAAGACACAAGAATAAAGACATGAAGAGGAGACAAGACGGGACAAAGGTGTATGTGGTTGCAATGAAAAGGAACCAAGTGCACAGGAACAACCGATGACAACCCACCTCATTGTAAAGACCTGGGCGACCTGACACCTGATTTGAAAGTAGGTTGCGCGTGTACAAACTAAGGGCCGAGCCGTGTATACGCAAAAGAAGGAAAGAGATGAGATGACAGGACATGATGCAAGGGAAGACATGAAAGAAAAGAAGAGAGAAGAAGTGTGTAAAGGGGAACAGGATGAAAAGGGGGAACAAAATGGAGGGGACGGGAACCGATGAAACCAAACCTCATCACAACAACCTAGGAAAAACTGCCTCGTTTGAATGTACACGCTGTATGTGCACCCAAGGTCTCGACAGGTTCCAATGAACCTTCAACTTGCTTTGGCTGCTATGGTCACCGTGTGCCGTGCCAAAATGGGTGGCTGCTCAGACCGCTCCGGCCACCAATGGCTTGCTCGAAAGCTGCCTACTTGTACCCAATAATTCAGCAAGTCTTGGCGAATGACTTTGGACTAAGCCTACGTCCGCTGCGGACTACTCTGGTCCCCGGCGCAGGGACGAAGACAAACCCCCGTTCAACGGGTCCACAGGGGGCGCTCTGCGGGCTCACCCTGGGCTCTGACGAGGAGAGACACACTTATTGAAATGCGTACTGGCTCGAATGCCGCTCGCCGCACGGCAACCTAGGGATACCAAAATCTTGAATAGATCAGGAGAAGCCCAACGGAACCTAGGGGTCTTCAAAAGGAAGTGAGGCCAAAGCGCAAGAGAACCCAACTGACGAACGCGGGGCGAGCAGGGTGGCGACGTACGCGCGTGTCTGCAGAATGCATCTAGCGGTTTACGACTCAACTCATCAAATGTTAAACATCACGCAGGTACACAGAGCTGATCAGGCTCTGCTTCCAGCGCAAGTAAATAGCTTCGTTGGGTGCAGTCTCCACTGTGCTCTGCACCCCCCTGCTTAAAATCAAAAGAAACACTCCAACAGGAACCTTGTGACTCCAAAGGTTACACACACACACGCGCACATTCGCTTCATGTCTGCAATATCAGATTCTACCAGCAGTTTTCGGCGAGTAGGGGTGATCCTTCCAGCGATCGCAACCTGCTCCGGAAACTGATCTGGAACGGGGCCTCTAGAATATTCTCACCACCTCAATCTGAATTTTGCCCAAAAGTTTAAAGATGTGTGAGCCGCCAAAAACGTGGAGCGTCGGATGAAGTCGATTGCTTCATTTTGCTTCGTTCCAAAAAAGACAACATGTGCCCAAGCTTGAAAGCCGTCGGGACAGCGCAACGCATCACTGCTGATGCTGCTGCTGCTACTACTACTACTACTGCTACTACTACTACTCCTACTCTTCCACTTCCACTTCCACTTCCACTTCCACTACCACTCCCACTAACTACTACTACTATCACTACTACTAGTACTCTTACTACTACTGCTACTCCTACTACTGCTACTGCCACTCTTACTACTACTACTACTACTACTACTACTCTTACTACTACTACTACTACTACGACTACGACTACGACTACGACTACGACTACGACTACGACTACGACGACTACCACTACCACTACCACCACCACCACCACCACCACTACTACTACTACTGCTACTACTACTACTACGACTACTACTACTACTGCTGCTGCTACTACTACTACTACTACTACTACCGCTACTACTACTACTACTACTTCTACTACTACGTAGTAGTACTACTACTATTACTACTACTCCTGCTACTACTACTGCTACTACTACTACTACTAGGACTACCACTACTACTACTACCATCACCACCGCTACTACTACTGCTACTACTCTTCCACTTCCACCTCCACTTCCACATGTATTACTACTACTACTGCTACTACTACTACTACTACTCCTACTCTTCCACTTCCACTTCCCCTTCCACTTCCACTACCACTACCACTACCACTAACCACTACTACTACTACTACTCCTGCTACTACTACTACTACTACGACGACAACGACTACTACTACCACGACCACGACC